GCCTATCGAGCCCAGTCCAATTTTTACGAGGTCGTGGCCCTCCTGGATGATGTAACTTTCCCCTCCTGTTTACATCAGAAAAGGGCAGTGACCTGCTTGGACCCAGCAGCTATAAAAGAAGGCCCCAAGCCTCAGTTAGTTAGTCTTTAGTCTTCAGTCCTTTGTTTCAGTCCTCCGCACAGGCCGCTTCTATAGAGGTAATTAAACCCTTTCCTGCCAGAAACCTCCTCGTCCCATTCCTTCTTGACGTTCAGTGAAATCTCTGTTTGTTTATTTCCCCTTTGGCCTAGCTGTGTCGCCTTCCACCACGACTGCACGGTAGAGTTGACATCGAGGTTCGTCTAGCATCAGGTAACACTGGTCCCAGAGGTCCCAAGATATCACATATATACTTTAAATAATATATTATTTATTTTTATTACTTTTTATACTATAAGAGAGTACTTGTAACTCAGAAACAATATCTAATTTTAAAATTAGAGTTTCGTCCTGGTTACTCTGGAGTCGTCCTAATAAGGTGATATCATTTTTAGATATTTAAAAATATTGTTATATATAGGTACTACCATTTTTTAACATATTTCACATAGAAAATATTCCTTGGTTGCTTGAAACATTTTTAAATGAGAGAGATTTCTTTTTAAAACACATTCCGATATATAAATGTTACTAGGTATATTTTTACTCATCAAATAATCTAATATATTTTATCACCTTATATATTGATAGCATATTTTAATATTTTTTAAATATAAAAAAACCTCACACAAAAATGTGCATCATTTCTTGAATTTCACCCTCCATTTTTTAAAAAATGAAGTGTCAGGGAAATATATATAGCTGAAATATATAAATTAACATCTTAAAAGAATAAGCTAATGAATTACGAAAGATATTCACACTTAAATTCGAATTATAAAAATCTAAAACTCATTAAACTTGTAAATTTTGTAGACAGGTCATTCCGAAAAGTTCAACTTCCTAGAATAAAAAAATGATTTAATTCATTAATTTTGACGAGTCGAATGTTATTAGCCTAAGTCAACAAGAGAAAGCAAACAGTGGTGCTAATTAGAAAGAAAAAAATAAATCAATAAAACATGTCTAGAGTTTTGTGAATATAGATGATTCCAATAAATTCCAACATTGCCTAGGTCTGAATAGTTCCAAATAATTAAAATATTCAAAGTATAGTTTGAAATACTATCTGTAAAAATGTGATTTGATATTTCTACCTTATCAAATCTCTAATTATGTGATGAATTTGATATTTTGAAAGACAAATCTTTAGACCACTAAACGGATGGTGGAGATATAGAGTATAGAAATATTTTAGTGTCTGTGTTTAACTATACAGTCTGCAAAATTTACTTCCTAAGTAGGATAATGGTATTAGTACTTGATTAAGTTACAAAATACAGATTACATTGTCACATATATATGGCGTTATATGTGGTGTTATAATGTGAACCCGATATAAATATTATAAAAGCACACATTATATAAATATATATTACTATTCTCTTAGGTACCAGAAGAGGAAAATGTACATAAAAATATGTACGAGGATAAGGTGAAATGTTCTCGGCCTGACAATGCAGGACTCTGAATTTCAGTTTAAAAAAAACTATTTTATTTTCCTACATAATCTCCCTTGACTTCAAAACACTTAGTCCAGCGTTTCTCCAATATCAGTATTCCTTCCTGGAAATGGGAGTCTGGGAGGGTGTTAAAATATTCATCTACAGCTTCTCAACTTATTCATCGGACGAGGGCAACTTTCCAGAAACAAATTTCGTTAGGTTTGGAAAGATATAGAAAAAAAAAAGGTCTGAGGGTGCCAAATCAAGGGAATTGAGGGATTTCCGAGAAAATCGTGCCCCAATAGGGGTTACTCCATCCAAAACAAAAAATTAGATAACTGCACGATATTTAAGTCTATTAATTTTACCTGAACACGCGCAAGACGTGTACTGTATAGACTCGTATACACAAACTACTTCAGCAAACAAGTTGAAACTTGTCCTACAAACTAATGGCATGCTGACCAGGTAGGAAACGTAATGTTTTCCCGATTGAAATGCCACATCTCTGAGTATAAATATATATAGTAATATATTTCAATATACACTAGATGTACCATAATTATAAATAGTTTAACATCCCTAAATGTATAAACAATTCATTGCGCCAAATTGACCATCCTGTAATCAACATATATAGTCACGACCGTCTTTCCTCCTCAATTCCTCATCGCTGTCACGGATGCGCGCGCATCATCATTATGATCATCATCATTATCTAATGATAATAATAATAAATATTATTAGTATATTATTATTATCAACATATATAGTCACGACCGTCTTTCCTCATCGCTGTCACGTATGCGCGCGCATCATCATTATGATCATTATCTAATGATATATATAATAATAATATTATTATTATTATATTATTAATTAATATATATAGTCACGACCATCTTTTCTCATCGGCCTCAGTCACGGATGCGCGCGCATCATCATTATGATCATTATCATGATCTAATGATAATAATAATAATAATAATAATAATAATTATTATTATTATTATTATCCCTATATATAGTCACGACCGTCTTTCCTCATCGGCCTCAGTCACGGATGCGCGCGCATCAACATTATGATCATTATCATTATCTAATGATAATAATAATAATAATTATTATTATTATATTATTATTATTATCAACATATATAGTCACGACCGTCTTTCCTCATGTCACGGATGCGCGCGCATCATCATTATGATCATTATATCATTATCTAATGATAATAATAATAATAATTATTATTATTATTAATCAACATATATAGTCACGACCGTCTTTCCTCATGTCACAGATGCGCGCGCATCATCATTATGATCATTATATCATTATCTAATGATAATAATAATAATAATTATTATTATATTATTATTATTATTATTAATCAACATATATAGTCACGACCGTCTTTCCTCAACAATTCCTCATCTCTGTCACAGATGCGCGCGCATCATCATTATGATCATTATCATTATCTAATGATAATAATAATAATTATTATTATTATATTATTATTATTATTTTATTATCATTATGATCATTATCTTCTATAGAAGCTTCTATCTTTATAATTATGTATATTTACAAAAAGTCAATTCGCTCGCGCCTCTAGCGGTGAAAATGAGGGGTAATACCAGCTGACCTAATGTACAGGTAAAGTTTGGAGCGGGACGTTTTACAAGAGTGACATCCACGGCTCCAATTTATAATTGTAACAAATAGTATTGGAATAAAAACATTCAATCGGGTAAAACACGGGCGTTGCCCGGGTTATTCGTCTAGTCCCTATATATAGTCACGACCGTCTTTCCTCATCGGCCTCAGTCACGGATGCGCGCGCATCATTATTATGATCATTATCATTATCTAATGATGATAATAATAATAATTATTATTATTATTATATTATTATTATTATCAACATATATGGTCACGACCGTCTTTCCTCATCGGGTGTAATAATAATAATAATTATTATTATATTATTATTATTTTTATATTAATATATAGTCACGACCGTCTTTCCTCATTCCTCATCGGCCGCCTCTGTCACGGATGCGCGCGCACAGGGAGGTCACGTGCTCGCCGGCAGCCAACGGGCGCGCGCCGCCGGCATTACGTCATAGATTATAAACACAAGGTAATAAGGCCAAATAAAAAAATAGTGTGTGATAAGGCACAATTTGGATTATCTACTTATATAATTGCCTTATTCTGTCTGTATGAAGTTCACGGATAGATATTGGTCAGAATGGATAAAATAAAAAAGTGTCAAGGGATGGGAATCGAACCCACGACCTACCGCTTACCGGGCAGATGTCATGACCACTAGGCTACCCTGGACATATTTTTCCGTTCACATTTTTATTTTTATATTTTCAAGACACACACAGTTTGGGGCGAGACGTTTCTGGTTCAAATTCACATAAATAGGTACCGCTCAGCAAGAGCAACCTAGTTCATGACAAATGAACAATGAATAATATGTGAAGGTTATTCACATATTAAACAAAATTTTAACGCGGGATTCAATCCCGGTTCATGACTGTCGGGAATCGAGGGGGTTACCCACTCGTCCACCGACTTTTGTTTACGGGACGTTTCACAAAAGAGACATCCACGGCGCCAATTTATAATTGTAACGAATAGTATTTTAATTAAAACATTTTAAAAATATATACGCACTCGGGTAAAACCCGGGCGTTGCCCGGGCCATTCGTCTAGTCAACATATATAGTCACGACCGTCTTTCCTCCTCAATTCCTCATCGCTGTCACGGATGCGCGCGCATCATCATTACCATCATTATCATTATCTAATGATAATAATAATAATAATTATTATTATATTATTATTATTATTTTATTATCAACATATATAGTCACGACCGTCTTTCCTCAATTCCTCATCGCTGTCACGGATGCGCGCGCATCATCATTATGATCATTATCATTATCTAATGATAATAATAATAATAATAATTATCATTATATTATTATTATTTTATTATAATATATATAGTCACGACCGTCTTTCCTCATTCCTCATCGGCCTCTGTCACGGATGCGCGCGCATAATCTTTATGATCATTATCATTATCTAATGATAATTATTATTATTATTATTATATATATAGTCACGACCGTCTTTCCTCATTCCTCATCGGCCGCCTCTGTCACGGATGCGCGCGCACAGGGAGGTCACGTGCTCGCCGGCAGCCAACGGGCGCGCAACCAGCATTACGTCATAGATTATAAACACAAGGTAATAAGGCCAAATAAATAAAATAGTGTGTGATAAGGCACAATTTGGATTATATTTAATACAGTTATCACCGTCATGCACAATTCTGTCACGTTAAGTGTCAAGTTAGGGTAAGTAGAAATTTAAAAATTAAAAAAAAAAAGATGCCGAAACCCAGGGATCTTACCAGGGACCTTTAGATATTCAGTCTAACGCTCTCCTAACTGAGCTATTTCAGCTTATTTTATTTTTTTTCTGTAGAAGCTTCTATCTTTATAATTATGTATATTTACAAAAAGTCAATTCGCTCGCGCCTCTAGCGGTGAAAATGAGGGGTAATACCAGCTGACCTAATGTACATGTAAAGTTTGGAGCGGGACGTTTCACAAGAGTGACATCAACGGCTCCAATTTATAATTGTGACAAATAGTATTGGAATAAAAACATTCAATCGGGTAAAACACGGGCGTTGCCCGGGTCATTCGGCTAGTAACAAATAAGATAATAAAGTTTTATTGAGACAGCCGCGCCCAAGGCAGGACAAGGGTCCGAAGAGTCGAATTCCGTCAAAGAATATTCATTTCCTTCCAGGAAACTCCCAATAAGTTTTACGACCGCCACTGGACAATGACAAAAAGGGTGGGCAGAAAAAGTTCATCTCTGCCACTCATGTAGAGCACACCTCCTGGACCTTGTCCACGTCTTAGGAGCTGGCCTCTCTGAGGTGACATCCAACCTGCCTCGTCCTTTGTATTACCCTTTGACGCCTGAAACCATGTGTCGAAAAGACTACGTAACCTGCCTACCATACCAATAGGTAGACAGGATAATCTTAATAAATATATATATTATATGAAAAGAAAAATATATTTTGCCTGATTTTGGTTATCTTGAGGATTATGCTATGATATTATTTGTTGGTTCTTTTTAGGACTAAATGGTATTGGTAATGCAGTCATGGCAAAAAATCTTGAAGGTATAATAATAATAATAATTTTGATCAGTAATTTATTTGAACTAAAGGAATATTTAAAAAACATAGTTTAATAAAAGTACTACCTGGCTTAAGTCGTAAGAATAAAAAAATGAAAAGCTTATTTACATAAAGTACAAAATGTTTGAGCCGGCCATCGGGAAACAACAACAATGCGTTTTTAAAGGGGAAGCGTGACCTCTGGCGGTCGATTTAACAGAGTATTTGTATCTATGAAATATAATTTTTTTTTAATAAAATAATATTTTAATTTAACATATATATTTAATTAAAAAGGCATATGATTTTAATTAAAGATCTCTTAATGGATTGCTTTATTTACGAAAAAATTCAATATATATACTTGCTTTTAGAGCGTCATAACTCGTACAGACTTTTTTCAAACAAGGAAAATAAGTAAGTAAAAAGTTTGTTTTATTTTTTCATATATTCATAATATATTTTATTATTTTAAAATTGTATATATTGTTTGTTTTGAAATTAAACTTTTTGTAAAATCAAGAAAAACAGTAAATAATAGAATAATTAAGGTTGAATTTAAAAGATAATGAATCATCCACTTTTAATATAAAAGTGCAAACATCAGGCCTCCTGGGATAAATTTCCTCTCAAAATATTTAATTCATATCTCTAGCTTTCTGAGATTAAAACCTTCTACAAGAGAATACACATGATGCAATAAATAGCCAACACGACATAAGTTATATTATTATTAAATATTATATTTTTTACATATTTTCATACAAATTTTAAAGAAAATTTCATACTTTTTATTTACAAATGGTGGATAAAAACATTTTAAATATATTAAATAAAGCATAATCAGTAGTTATTGTAATATGCTTTTTGTTTTTTTTTCTGTGGATAATTAGAAGGTATATATATATTTTCTCTATTTGGAGGATTTGGGGTGGGCTCAGGGAAGGTATATTGTAAATATCCGTTTTCTGTTAATGCTATTGTATTTTTTCGATATAATTGATTATATTATAAGCCTCTTTTGTGTGTTTATTTGTGATATTACAGTAATGGGAGTTTTTGTTCAAATAAGATGAAAGAGTGGCCCGTTTCCTTTTTATACTGGTATACTAATGACGGAAAAGTGGCCCTTGAGTTCCCCGAATTTATCGTTTATTTTTAGAAGATAATAATGTGTTTAACTAGACCTAATATTATTAGCTAGCTTTCTCTCTATACTTTTTCAAGGATTTTATCTTTATTTAAACATATTTATAAGATATTTTTCTACATGTAGAACTCGCCGCATTATTTTATGGCATATACATATAATTAGTTTTTCGAATCAGATGCTTCGCTCAGTTTAAATATTTTAGGAGAGTATATTGGTTAAGCGTTTATATGCCTGGTACTGCACAAATTTCGACGTAGGGTTTAGGATTGGGAAAGTGTTGGAGGTTTACATGGTTTCCACTATTATCATCTGTTCAAGAAATTAATGGCTGGTTCTCTTGGATGTTTGGTGTGTGAATCATTCATTTTTTTCTACATTACCTAGCGATGTAAACTGGTTTGTTACATTTGAAGTATATTAGTCTACTTTCATCGTTTCTAGTTTAATTCACTTGGTGCTTCTAAGCTGTGCTTTCAACATACTTTTGTGCGCGATGCATTGTTCTTAGGGAATATTCAAGGGTCATTTGTGTGTTTATATTTGGCATTATTATAAGATGGCTTACCTTGAAATCGTAGCAGATGGGAGTCTTGCCTTCTTGTTTGAAATTCTTGTCTACTTGGCTGCGTATTATGATTTTTAGCTGAAAGTAATAGAGGTTCTTTAGTGAACTTGGCGTATAAATCTTCTTGCTCTTCTCCTCTTTTTCTTTATATTCTTGCTCGAATGAGTTCAATTATTTTACAGGTATTCAGCAGTGTTTTGTTGAGGCAGGATATTTCAGATATAATGCTGAAGAGTATTCTTTTTTCTATTTACCTACTACCGATTTGATTTTCTCTCTATCTTCCATTGATGAGTCGAACTTATTGCTGAAGAGTAGAAATTCTTGTGTATAAAGGGGCTCGTTCCAATTCTGTATTCTATGCATTTATTTTTAGGTATTTTTTTTAATCCTTTGTAGAAATATCTCAATAACATGTTCTTTAAGTGATTCCCTTTTGGTGAAATTGGGGTTGTACAGTTCATGCCACATTTTGGCTTTTCCTACTAAGTTCATGGCTGCATATATCTGGTGATAAAATAATCTGCCCACTTTTATATAACTACCTTTTCCTCTAGAGATTCAATCCATTTTCGGGGATTTTCACTCCCATCGTACTTGAGAATGGTTATATTACCGTTTATAATTACTGGGACGAATCCAGCGGCTCCACCAGATGTTGCACCGTCCTGGAAGATTGACTTCGTGTCAATATTTGATGGGTCCATACAAAGAGTATAAGTTAGACCAGAACGAGCAATCACAAAGAAATTTAATTTAACAAGAAAAGTATTTACAATTTTGCCCGATACAGTAGAACTTGGATAATTCGAACTTTCTTAATTCGAAAACCTCTTTAATTCGAATATTTATCTTGGTCCCTAGAATTTCCTATATAAATAATGTTAAAAAATCGTGGTTAATTCGAATTATGTCTTGGATAATTCGAACTTTTACGAGTTAAAATAAGGACCTGATGCCGGTTCAAGGCGTGAAATTTTGCGAAATGACGTTGTAATATTGTAACAACGAATTTGTTATTTTATTATTATTAATTATTTTCTTAACAGAGTTATCAATTTTTATGTTTATATTTTCCTACTCTGTAAACTTCCCTCATTGCTTATCTTTTATTTTATCAATTATAGTTTGTCCTTGCCTTAAATAAATTGCTGTGTCACGCCGAAGTTTGTCTTTCCTAATTTTCCACGTGGCAATATCTTGCCGCAATTAATAAATTTATTTTTATTGGATTTTTGAGACTCCTTATTTGTCAAGAAAGCTAAAAGGAGCGAATATGTCGGCGCTTCGAACATACAAAACTTTGACGTTGGCTGAAAAAATAGCGGCGATTAAAGAAGTAGAGATGGGGATGAAAAAAAAATCCGATATTGCTAAGGACTTTGGGATTCCTCGAAACACGTTGTCGACGTACTTAAAAAATAAAGAAAAAATTCTCAGGAGTGAAAGTAAGTGTGATAAAGGCCGAAAAAGGTTAAGGGAGCCGGGAAATCCTGATTTGGACAAATGTGTTTTAAAATGGTTCAAGCAAGCAAGAGATAAGAAGATTCCCGTGAGTGGTCACCTTATAAGAAGCAAAGCTGAACAATTTGCTACTGAAATGGGGAAAACCGATTTTAAGGCGAGTTCTGGGTGGCTAGATGGCTTCAAAGAACGCAACAAAATTTCGTTCAAAACCATTTGTGGAGAAAGTGGGGCCGTTAATCTACAAGTAGCCGAACAATGGAAAAATAATTTACGGGAATTGATCCAGGATAAAGACGCTAGAGACGTCTTCAATGTTGATAAAACGGGTCTTTTTTTAAATGCACCCCTGACAAAACGCTAGCTTTTAAGCATGAAAAATGTCACGGGGGAAAACTAAGCAAAGAGAGAGTCACTCTCCTGGTTGGTGCAAATATGGATGGATCTGAAAAGCTTCCTCTTTTGATGATAGGCAAGGCAGCCAATCCACGTTGTTTCAAGAACGTCAAAACGAAGCCAGTGGACTATGCAAACAGCGCAAGAGCTTGGATGACTAGTTATCTTTTTGAGAAGTGGCTGTTGAACTTGGACAAAAAGTTTACAAAAGAAAAACGAAAAGTTATTTTATTTATCGATAACTGTACTGCACACAAACTCAATCCCTCCAATGGAAAATGTGGAAGTAATTTTTTTTCCTGCCAACACGACTTCGGTTATCCAGCCCATGGACAAGGGAGTCATCAAAAATCTTAAGCATTTTTACAGACGGTTTCTATTTGAGAACATATTGACAGGAGATTCCGAAGCCCTTAAAATCAAACTAGACGTTCTTCAAGCCTCTCGATTGTGTAAGAAAGCGTGGGACCAAGTAACGTCCGAAACGATCAAACACTGTTTTAAAAAAGCTGGTTTCGTAAAAAAGGAGGAGGATGAAGAAAATGCAGATGATATTATAGCGGAAACGATGCCTTCAGTTGACGGCTGGGAGGACGTCATTTCTAATCCTACCATCTCGTATGACGATTTATTAAACGTGGATGACGATGTTGCAGTATGTGGTGAGATAACCGACGCAGATATCATC